TCGTCGCAATATGTGTTTTTGCATATTATGCAAAAACGCATAAAAACAAAGAATTTTCTCGAAGTTTTTATGAGTGACATTTTCCAACAGACAAAAAGGGAAAGACACGGCTGAAGTCGAAGTGAAAAATACAGCTAAGTGGGACGAAGAGGGCTCAGACTCATTAAAAGAGGACGAATAAGCTGCGAACTATCAAAAAATCCCTCATTCAGTGTTGATGCAAGAGGATATATGCATCATGAGAACGATGCAGGACCGCATTCATCTGCCCGACAACCCAATAAGCCAAACACTAAGGGAAGCCATGCTTTCGCATTAGCGGTGAATTTTTGACGGACTGTGTCTCGCTTTATTACACTGCGACACCTAACTACAAGTCCTTTTGTTTGCCGTTGTCCAATTTTGTACATATACCCTCAAAAAGTTCAGCAGTAAGAAACCTTAGTTTTCGTCACTTCCTGCACATGGTCCTCAACACTGTTGTCGCTCAATGTCACCACTGCAGCAGTGGACAACAACAGACAAGCAGTGAGCATAGCTTCGTCCATCCCACCTAAATTAACACATGAAGTAAAGATTATCTCATCATTTTCAGTTGAAAATATAAAAAGAAGGGAAAACATGAAACATTAAACGACTATTATCATCCGGATGATGATGCGTTATGGTAAATCGTAGAATACCGAGATCAGCTGGAACAATCGGTATGGGGATTTCGCTTTATAAACGTTTCTGCGGATCATTCAGTGTCACATAAAAAATTTTATTTTCAGTATTCGTATAAAAACAGGCCCTGCCTGAGATCTAGAAAGGATTTTTAAATAATTTTTTGATTAAACCGGACTGTGAGTTCTGCTCAAAAGCAGAAGATTACAAACATTTCATTGTTCATTTCGTCCTTCCAAATCGTGAAATTTTCATTATAACGCAACATCGGCGTTCTTCGGAATTCACGCAGCGTGTCAATTTATTAGAATCATAAAATGCATACTGTCAGCCAGCAGACTCATCTGTCGCAGCAAAGGCATCATATGAGCCATTTGCAGGGCCAAGGTCAGGCATCACTCACATCTATTACAGATAAGGTTTGACTTGGGCATGTATGTGAGATCAAGACGAATTAAGGAATCAAAAATCCTGATTTCCAGCTTATTTCCTTTGAAATCCACAACACTGGCAACTAACAAAACTCAACTCAGCTCGGTCAAATCGAGAAGCGAGTTGCAATAATTAAGGATGGGTTAAAAAGCGAAGGTGATGAAAGGCGACGGGGGAGAGGAGGGGAGGGAAGGCGGGATGGTGGTTTAGGTTTCGGGGGTCATAGCAAAAACGAAGGGCTAGGTCATTGACTGGGAGGAGCTGAGATCTTACTTGAAGGTAGAATTGGAAACAAGGGATGGGATTAAGGAGTTGTTTAAATTTTTTATGCTCAGCTTGAAGGGAAGTTAGCAGTCTTGAACGCAATATTTGGAACCTCTTTTAGACAAAAAACCTGGTGGTATGATTTTCGCAGGTCGAATCCGAACAAAAGAAGCTATAATCATCGGTGACGCGCACCGGGCTGGCCAGTGCGATCATGCGTTTTTGCAATATTTTGCGCCGTAATGAGATCGCTCGGAAACCCAGTAGCTAGAAATGTGTGATATACTGGTCCTCGAAGCC